TATATCCTATAGAACTGAGTCCGAAAGTACAGACTGAGTTCATGTGGGTTCATAGATAAGAACTGATGACCGAGCCAAAAGCAAGGGGAAAAAGAAAATAGAAAGAACTACTACCCCACCTAGTGTTGAAACTCTTGCTTTGCAAGAAAACCACCGGATGCAATTCCATTTTGCAAATCAGCCCCCAGAACTTGCTGAGCCTTAAGAATGTTCATAAAACTGTTCAAAGGAAGAACGCCTGGTGACGATGAAGAGTGGCAAAAGGCGAGCAGGTAAAGAGGCGCAGTGGTACGGGCCGGCTTCTTCTGCTGAAGTTCCATTAGAAGCTGGAGGAGAACCCAAATTTCTACTCCTCGAAGATCAGCCATGGGTCCTGTGTACTCTTCTCTCTGTACCCTAAAACTTTAGGTACTACTTATGAATTAACAAGGGTTCAACTTCCAAACATTGATGACATAAATACCTGTTCAGTAACTCTGAGATGCTCTTCCCCCACGAGTCTCAGCAGGACTCATCTCCCGTCAGAAAGGCTCAGCGTAAGGCCTGAGTGTCTTTACCATAGGTCACCTGTCCCTCTGGTCTTGTCCTAAGTAGGCAGTGAGACATCTGAAATTCAAGCTTTCCTTATGGGCTCAGCAAATATCAGAATACTCAAAGATAACTTACCTATTACAGAAATTCAACACAATTCTAAGAAAAACTCAAAATATGCATACCTCTGACAACACAAATCCTGAGTTGATAATTTTTCAAATCCCCATAAAGTCATCTTGTCTTTGTCAGTAATAGATCTTATTACAAGTAAGAGCTCCCAGAATATTCTGTAGAAACCAACATAGCATAGTAGGGGGAAAACAAAAGTAATAAAGTGAGAAAAACTGCAGCTTCGCAATTATTAGCTGTGCGACCTTGGGAAATTCTCACTTCCTCTGAACCTCAAAGGCTTTATCTGTAAAATGGGTATAATACACATAATTTGAAAGGTTACATTAAGTGTTAAAGAATACACACAAAGTGTCTGATACATAATAAGCACTCAATAAATGGCAGTCATTTATTATTAAAAGTGATAGCATGCTTTATAAACAAATAACTCTCAGCAGACTGTTTTTATGGCAACTCGGGACTGGTCCTGGGCAAAACTATAAACTAGGCCAAGTTTGTCTTTTGGCCTCTTGCTTACCTTTTCAGCACTACCTCCAACATTCATCTGTAAAACCAGCCCAGAAAAACTAGTATGATGGCAAGAGAAGACATTAGGGTCCACCATGTATGCACTGAAAAGATGTATGAACACCACATAAAGCTTTTAAAGACAGGTTTATTTATATATAAGTGCATGAAATTGAATACAGAAACTTTATTAAAATACTGTATATTACAAATTTTTAATCCAATAAATTTGGTGTGATGACACTTAAGTGCTGGATTTACTTTGAACAGTTCTTTTGTGTGTTATCAGTGAAGAGTTCACCCTGTATGTTACAAAGAGGAGGGCCACGCATGGACCTCAGAAAAGGCCCTGTGATTAGACACTGGATGATATTAATTGTGCATCTTTTCTTAAAGCAATGAATTGGAACCTGGATCTTGTCTTTGTAGACCAACTTTCTAGAATCAAAAATAACTTGCATACGTTTATTGCTGCCCTTTGAAGAAAATGAGAGTGGTGAAAAATAATTTAAAATAAACATCAACACCTCTAAGGCTAAACTAAGATGCTTACCACAATTAAAACACTTAAAATTCACCGCAAAATTTGTGTTCTCCAGGAAATTATGCTATATACACAATGAGATCTGTACATGAATTGGGAAATAAAAAAATTGTTTATATAAAATTAAAAATCAATAGTATACACTATTTACAGCTTGTTAGGTATTATACATAAACATAGCTTTTTAAATAATCCTTCAAAATTAAAAGGTATTATGTAAACATGCAGTACACATACTCATACAGTGTAGTTTATAGTCTTAACAGAAAGGGAAGAATCATGTTCACATAACATAGGGTACTCCATCAAAGACGCCTTTGTTTTTGTGCATTACCCTCCAACGTTTATGCTTCCTGTCTTTAAGCTTCACAGTACATTAAGTATTTCTATAGTAAAAATAAATCCCTGATGATAAACATATTTCTAAAGGTTACGTCAAGTGTCCGCCCTTGTACGACAGTATAAAACTAACACTGTTCACACCAGAATCTCTAGTTTACAACAAAACTAAATTCAAGGATCCCACATTTAATGTTTTTGACTACAATGTCCCCCATTCCATACTTACTTGGAAAAAGGAAAAAATACCACATCATGAAAACATAATGAAAGTAGTTGTCATCGGTCATAGCCAATGGCTAAATAACTGATTTACATTAAACCATAAGAAGTCAGCAGCTAAGGTTGTTTCAACTACACCATTCCTACTTCTAATTCCAAGTCACAGGTACTGTGTACAAAGCCAATTCATCTGTACCAGTCCTGAATCTAACTAAATTCACTTTGCAAAAGTATTTTAACTTTCAAGGCACTAAGGCATCATTTAGCTTTTAAAAACTGTATTGTGATTTACTAAATGATTCATCAGTGGTCTGAGAGTTAACACAGTTTGAAAGTGAGTCTTTTAACACCCATTAACAACAACAAAAAAAACCCAAACCCGTTCACTACTGAGTCTATTCCAACTCATAGCAACCCTATAGGGCAGAGTAGAACTGCCCCATAGGGTTTCCAAGGAGCAGCTGGTGGATTCAAACTGCTGACTTTTGGTTAGCAGCCAAATGCTTAACCACTGCACCACCAGGGCCCCTTTAATACCTATTAGGTAAACTATATTTTTGCTATTTAAATTGAGACATTTTAATCAGTTAACTTTAAGATAAAATTGATTCCCTCATCCCAGAATGACTAGAGTCAAGGGCTAATACTTACAGTAGACTCATATAATTTTACCAAGTTATATACTGAAATGAAAAATACTATGGAAGTTCATATTTGTTCACTAAATGTGTAGAGTTCATGTCTGAATGTGTATGCGTGTGTGGGTGTAAGGGGGTGTACTGGGGAGAGGGCCAGAATTTTTAAAACTTCCATTGTAAATGCATTCCATATCAGAAATACTAAGAAGTGCCAATTAGACTATCAGTTTACTCAGTATTGAAAGTACATCATTTTTACTACTATTCAAAAAAGTACCTCTGTTTTGCTTTCTATGGAGTTAACTTTAAAATGCTCCTTCCCAAAGACACTTTATGATGATGTGCAAATAATTTAAAAGCAAAGGAAACTCTTCATCATCAGTAGTACTGTCAAGTTAACATTCATTTAATCAAGGCTCTAAAGAAAAAGTGGTGCTTTTTGGAAATCACCGACGTACAGTACATTTAGGAGAAAGTGTTACCATTATCGTATTCAGATAATTATGCATTCCAGTTCCTCTTTCTATGCATTTATGTCACACTGCATTCCAGTTTCAGTTACATATCTAAATACATTCCCAAAAGGGGGACAATCAGGTTACTATAAAGAATAGCTATGTATAGGTGCAGTATATAATCTTAAAGAAATATGTAAGAGGTCCATGCTCTCTTGACTTGCCTATAGTAGTAATTTTTCAATAACATTATAGCTGCATAACCATAAGGTGTTAAGAATAGTCTCTTCTAAACCAGCGCTTCTGATTCTATCAACAAACTGTACATATGTTTAATTTATAATGTATGAAATCTATATGCAAGGGGGAGGGACATTTTCAAAAAATTGCTAAATTAGTTCTCAAGATCACAAAAGGGTTACTACGTAAGCTGAACTTATATGCAATGAATGTAAAGAATGTGAAGCTGCATCCTCTAACCTCAGAGGAAGAGATCGCTACAGTTCATAGCTCAGTTCACTCAGAAATCTGTTTTCACTAATTTAATAAAGTATTAGCTGGAACATCTCCACATTTACTGAAAATACTTCATGTATTAAGAATTCCCCCAAACAAATTCACAGATATCTTTTTAGATAACTCATTCAGCAACCACCTCAACAACAATGAATTGCCTACACGAGCAGAACAAAACTTACCATCCCAAGAAAAATGCAGTAACTTCAGAAATGTGGTAAATTAGTCTAACATACAAAGACTTAATTTACCTTGATTCCCTCTGCAACAAAACAGTACCACATGTCTGAAAAATCTAACCATAGCTAATCAAATACTGTCCTGTTTCTCTTGGAGAATCTCCCTCCAAGGTGTTATGAAAAGGATGGGGAAGTTACAGGCGATTATGAGACAGTTTGATTTCCAGTCAGTTTTAACCATTGAGATTCTGACCCCAATTATTACAGGAACAGTAATTTACCCAGTTACCCAGCAGGCGTTGCCAAATTTCTCTGCAATCTAAGCCAACGAGAGTTTCTTCAATAATTTTTCACCTTCCTTCCATCTTAAAAACAAATTCAAGACTGTATGAAGAGATTCTGATTACGAATTCCTGAGAGAAACATAGCAACAGTGAAGTAGTTTCTGAGAGTATTTCAAAAGTGCTCCAGCATCTTGTTACTTCTTAAATAATGAAAAGGACATAAACTCAAAACATTGGTATTTCCTTTTAAGTTGAAAACATCAATAACAACTAAGACTTGAGCACCTTTGCTCTGCGGAAAAAGGGACTTGGGTGACACTGAAGCCCAGCTGTATTCTCCTTCAGAGTTGGCACTATGCTTGGAGCCAAGCACACAGGGCAGCAGGGGAGAGAGAGACGAGGACAGAGGGCTCAAGCTTACTCACTTTTCCGTCCTTAAAACCAGGACAGCGAGCTGCATATAGTTGAGATCCAATGAATGTTAACTGAATGAATTCAAGGAAAGTAAGTGCTGCTGCTGTGTGCTAACAAGTCAATTCTGACTCACAGTGACCTGTATGACAGAGTAAACCTAACCCATAGGGTTTCCAAGATGCATCCTCTACAGGAGCAGATAGCCAGGTCTTTTCTCCTGCAGAGACGCTGGTGGGTTCTAACCATCAACCTGTCCGTTAGCAGCCAAGCACTTAACCACTGTGCCACCAGAGCTCCTTGGGAAGTAAGTAGGATAAGACGAAAGAGTAGATGTTGGCCACCTCGCCTGTAATTTAATTCTGCTTGCCCTGGCTGTCTCCACTCCACCAACTCCAAAAAATGTTCTTAAATCAAGTATCTGCTGATTTACAAAAATGGAGGGTGGAGAAGAGGTAAAGGAAGGCAAGATCACAAGAGATGTTTTACAGTTTCCTTCCCAAAATGTATGTAAGGAGAATCAGGCAATGGATGAAAACAGGTGGATTTTACAAACCAACATATTCAATTTTATTGCAAAATGTAATTTTTTAAAAGAATTTTAATGACCATCTATTGATCATTTGCTGTCAAACATGTACCGTTTCCTCATTTGGAAACGATCCCATGTAATCCTCACAATAACCACACGAGATTATTAATCTCACTTTACAGAGTATGAACTGAAGCTCAGAGAGGTTAAGTGATTTGCTCAAGATCACAAAAGTCTCCAAGTGACAGGCTGGATTCAAATCCATGCCGCTGGCTTAGATCCTAGTACTCTTTTCACTTCACAGCAATGGTATCTCAGTTACTGAAATTCCACCTACTGGATCAACTGGGAAAATCAGAATTTGAGGCAGAAGAAAAGGACTTGAACATGCAACTAAAATCAGGAAGGCAAAACACCATCTCAACTAGTGTAGGATTTAAAATCGCCTTGCTAGCTCTTGGTGAACTCAAGGGCAGAATCCACATCTTGCTCATCCTCGTACTTACTCCAGGAAATACAGCACCTTGTAGCAGATCCACAGAAAACGCTGACAAACTTGAATTAGTTAACATGGGGGTGTCAGCTTGGGCACATTACAGTGGCAGCCCCACTTTCCACATCTTAATTAGCTGTTCTCCAAAGACCTTTTCCAACAACATTCTCTGATTTTAAACTACCCCTGTTCCTTGGGTCACAAATAAATGATATAAAGGCCAGCTCATTTCTTTACTTCTCTCATGTAAAGCACAAACAAAACCCTTAGACTTTTGGGGGGCTGTGGAAATGTATGCTACAAATACTAAGAAAGTACGTTAGGTAATAAACTATAACACTGTCTGGCAAACATTAAGATCTCAAATAAGAAATACTGAGTTGAATGCACTGATACGGCCATCGGTAAGGACTTTCCTCATTCCAGGCAACCAATGGGATGGTCCCATGGGGCAGATTATTTACACCTCCCTCATCTAAGGGTTTTCAACATTATTTTGTAACTTATATGAAGTCCCCTGACTAACTCTGACCTATGCTCATCTCTAAATAGCATATTAAATAATAATAGTTTTGACATACAGGAATCTCTTCCTCGAGGAGTTGATTTCATTGTTAGCAATAGGTAACTAAACATTTTGTAAGTAAAGGAGTGTAAACTGCAGGGGATTCTCCCTTTCCTTCTTGCATTTCTCACAAAGAAAATCTACTGCTAACCGACATACAGATTTTAAGAAAGTGTTAACAACCCTAATCTGTCAATAGGGCTTTTGCCATATCACTAACAAGGTTATCCAATGCTATTGAGCCAAGAAATATCTCCCAAAATTAAAAAATCTTAAACATTCTCAAACATATTTGAAGATCATTCAACTGAACAAATATATCAAATTCTCCACTAGAACATTAAAGTGTTCATTGAACAAAAGCTTTCCAATTAGACTGTATTCATATATAGCAGCTTTATATGTGTATATATAATGATATATATGTCTGTATATATATCATTAAATGTTTCTTGCCTCTATAAAAAAACACTAACTTTAAAAAAAATCTCAGCATATAAATAGCTATTAAGACAATTTCATAAATTCACACTATTCAATTCTATTTCAAAACATTAAATGAGCAACCCTTGCAAAAAATCCCAATGGAAATATATGAAAACATCAAAGAAACCAAAAATTTCCCCAAAAGTTAAACGTATACATGCACCCACACTTCATAACTTAAAAGTAACTTGATAACAATTGCAGGGCATTCTACAAACTAAATATTAACCATCCGAATATACCTATATTCCAGAGTAAAAACAGGAGTTTAAATCTCTTTGGTCCATATAGTCATACATTTAATGTGTCCAAGTTATTTTCTGGTTAATTCTGGAATATGAACCATGTGCTCCACATTACCTTACCATGAAAAGTTTCTTAAATCATAAAATAATCATTTGTTAAAATACACATTCATTTTGTAAATCTGAAACAATTTCAACATGTCATTGGTAATTCTCCCAGAAGAATATGACCACTTTCAATTATTTGTAGAATAGCCAAATAAAGGAAGAACATAAATCAACTCTAACAGAAAAGGAGAAGTCAAATTGACTTGGAAAATTTACGCCTAAGTTTAATTTGAGAAAACATCAGGGATATAAAGAACATGTGAAAATAATTCCAGGTTTTTGCATGATAAAAATAATCAAATTAAAGATTTCACTCCCAAGATCTCCAAGAACGCACAGATGCTTATTATTTGTGTTTAACAAATTTCCAAGCCATGATATTAGTAAATCCCTGAAATTGGCTTCTATACCAGTAAAAGCATCCCCACCACCTCCTCACTGTTGAGTGGTTGGTATATTCTATTTTTTAATGGAAAAAAAAGTGGTATGGGTAACAAAGCTATTAAGTTTGAATGGGACCCAATATAAACCTACTTTTACCAAATCAGGTTATAAATTAGTGAGGCTATAGCACACATATGATCTTTTGGATTGTCCTTAACTTCGTATCATCTGAAACGGTTCTTCCTTTGAATTATCACATTTATTAACTGCATCTGGTACAAAAAAAAAAATCTCATTAGGAGATAAGTTTAACCAGGCTCTGTGTTTTCCCTACTTCCTGTACTCTTACAAATAATTACATATTTCTAAAACTTCTCAGAATGTGTTATATCAAGGACCACTCAATTTCTAAAAAATATCATACAGATTCTAATAAACTCCAGTAACAGAGAATAAATCAAGAACTAAACAACTAAAACGAATCACTCAAAAATCACTCAATACTGTATTGATATGCTGAGATTAATTTCTAAATTTTATAATTATTTACTATACGCCCCAATTTTTACTTAGCAAACTTATAACTCTGCCACATACCCCACGTAAAACAGCTTATTAGTCTTGCTATATTACTTGCTTGTTACTTATCTGCAAATGAGGCTTTTTGTTTCCTCAGCCTAATTTAGGCCACTCTTTAAAGACAGTTAATACTCCAGAATAAAAGATTCCGTAGATTTTGTCAAAAATCAAGATAAATACAACAAGTGATATCATCCCACTGAGACACTTGTTGTAAAGATCTTTTGTTAGGAGATACATGGCAAACACTTTTCTTCAGAAGGATAAACAATGCAACATGAACCTCTGACTTTTTTCTTACAAAATTTTAAGAAAATTTTCAAATTATATTTTTATGATACACAAATTACAGTCAATGGATGTGACCCATAATGTTCTGAATTCATATAAATAGAATATTTATGCATGAGGGAAACTATGAAAAGGGTGTTATTTAAGTTGGTGAAAATTACGCACCCTATAGATCTACTTTGAGTCCTCAGAACGGTTCAGCTAGTTTTCCATTAAGTATTACTGTGTATTTTCCACATAAATTAAATAACAATAATGCCTAAACATATTAAAGCCCTAAATCCCAGAAACACTCAACATTAAAAAACAAATAATTTATCTCCTATTAAATGATTGGGTATTCAGCACTCATTCAGGATTTAGCGTTACAAAACAAATTCTTACTATGTTACCTGAATTCATGTCAATACGTTCACCACGCTCATCTACAGCTATTGTCACGTGATCAATGCTTAACAAAAAGAAATAAGTTTGGCACATATATCAATTCCTCCAAACGTCCCTGTAATTTAACACAACACTGTTAAGAACAACGATTTCAACACCAATGTTAACCTGACTGGCAGTAAACAAGGTGCTCTTTCTTGCAGCTTCACAGAGTGGGTGGATGCACCTTGCCCGCGACGAGGCACGTAAGGTGCGGTGCAGTAGTGCAATCACTTAGACACCAGAGGGCACTCCTCCTACACAGCTCCAGGCCGTGTTTTAACCTGCTCCTTCACCTTCTTGTACAATTTCATTTCCTCCTGTTACCAATGCCATTTTCAAGGAATCTGTACATCTGTTTCCTTATGTGAAGTAAGACATTCCCACAGAAGCCTCAAAGTGTGGCGAGGATCCTCGAAAAGGAGATGATTAATGTCAGTACAGTCTGTCCAACGCCCCATACCAGCGCTTCCAAAGGGGCCATGTTCTTCCCTGCTACTCTGTAAATGCCTGCTACTGCCGTACCTGCATCAGAAACAGAGGCGAGAAACCACCCGACACGTTAATCCACCGCAGAACACGCGGAATCACGGTAACTTAAGATCTCTTTTCATTTCATCAAAACAATAAATCAGCAGTGGCTCTCATTTTATAAATTATGACTTTTCATGTGATTGGTGACAGCTACACCTCACCATGCCACTTTTGAACCATTTAACTGAGAAACAAGATTATCTACTCAACCTCAAGATAAGTATTTATAGTAACTAAACCGGTCGCCGTCGAGTTGATTCTGACTCATGGAGACCCCATGGGCTGCACAGTAGAACTGCGCTCCATAGGGTTCTCCCGGATGTGACCTTTTGCAAGCAGATTGCCAGGCTTTTCTTCTGAGGTGCCGCTGGATGGGTTCAAATCACCAACCTTTTGGTTAGTAGCTGAATGCATTAACCATTTGCACGACCCTGGGACTACATATTTGACATCAAATATGTGTATAAGAAATAAGTAATTCACAATTGTCATCTCTCACCTGGGCATTCAATTGGCCAGACCTCATCAGCATTTGTATAAACCTACAACACATGTACTGATAATTATAAATAATAATGCAGGAAAAACTACACAATTCAATGTAACTTCTAAATTATTAAAGAAAATTTTAGTATTAAAGGTATCTTTTTATTTCACTGAGTAAAATGAATTAAGTACATATAAAATATAAGAATATTTGTTAATCCATATCTCAATCTTACCATAAAAATAGTTTACTGAACTTTTTAATAAAGCATACACTGTAAAGTTATTTGAGACTAGTATTACTTGACATCCAATAAAAAAGGAAGATGAACTTGACATCTGTTCTAGGAAAATTTCTTTAGATAGCATGCACTTCCTCAAAGGGGAGAGAATCAGAAAGGGCCTCAGAGATCCTGGGGTTCAATGTTTCGTCCTGCTAATACAGTGCATGTAATAATGTGGTATCTAAACGGCTGATTTTAAATCACAATTATTTCATCTCAGAAGGTGAGATGGCCTTAAAATTATTTCCCTAGATAAAACTGTCTACATATCCTAGACTGGTCGAACAAAAAGTAACAAGAAAAAGAAAAGAAATAAATTATTCTAAAATACTGAATTCACAATCACTGGAGTTAGAAACCTATTCATAAAAATTATCTAAAGATTCTTTGTACTTCACTTAAAATCTACCAAATAAAAGGTACTGTACTCTTCTAGAAAAGATACAAATGGGGAAAGCAAGTAATTCATTTAAATGAAGGGCTTTCATACACATGCTTTAAAACAGAAGGAAATTAAAACGTATAGTATGCTTATCACATACTAGGTATCTTGCTAGGAACTTTACAAATACTATCTTATTCAAATATCCTAATAACCCCTGAACAATATTATCTAATTTAAACATGAAAAAAACAGAGGTTCTGAGAGGTTCAATTACTAGCCCAAAGAAATAAGTACAAGTGTTGGGATTTGAATCCAGGTTAGTCTGGCTATAAATCCCCAAATCATTCTACCATTTCATATTTATATTAAATGAAAAAGAGAATAAAGAATTCAGAAAATAATAAAGCAACTGATATTAAATAAACAAAACCCCTAGTGGCATCAATATTTACTTAATCATGCAATATACTTACTAGCCTAATTGGTCATATCCCCAAATTTTAAAGATCAGATGATAGTCTTAAAAATTCTTAAAGGCCTTATGCCTTCTTTATTACCAGAAATGATAAATACTCTGTATTTATTTGGTTTTACCCCAGGTTTCCATGACTATCTTCAATTTTATTATGGCCTCCATCTCTCTGACACTAAGCTTCCAATCATAATCCAAGAAGGAAAATCAAAGCAATTACTAGCACAGGCTGCCTGGAAAAATGGCAGATGAATGTGTCAATTTAAACTTCCTATGACACGGGTTAAGAGCACGGATTTTGGAATTAGACTCCTGGATTAAAAGGCAAGACCCACTACCTTTCTGAGCCTCATTTCCTAAACTGTAAAATGTTGGTTGCGAAGATTAAGAGATAATACTAGTAAGGTGCTTAGAATAGTGTTGATCCTAGAATGTACTCAACAAGTTTTGCCCAGCAGTCATACAAGTAGTAAATGATAAAGGTATTTCCAATCAGTGATTCACCATTCAATAAATGCTGTTGAAACAATTGGTAGCCATCTGGAAGAAATACATTTAGCTCCCTATTTAACGTGATTCCCCAAGATAAATTTCAAATGGATTAAAGAACTAAAGGTTAAAAACAAAACTATAAATGTAAACTGAAACTGTAAGAAAATATGTTTATTATTACTATAGGCCACCACATGTCTGCCAGTCTGTTGTACTGTGGTGGTGTGCGTGTTGCTGTGATACTGGAAGTTTTGCCACCAGTATTTCAAATACCAGCAGGGTTACCACTGGTGGACAGGTTTTGTTGGAGCTTCCAGACTAAGATAGACTAGGAAGATGGACCTGGCAGTTTACTTCTGAAAAAACTGGCCAGTGAAAACCTTACAAATAGCAGTGGAACACTGGCTGATATAGTGCCAGAAGAAGAGCCCCTCAGGTTGGAAGCTACTCAAAATATGACTAGGGAAGAGCCGCCTCCTCAGAGAAGAGTCGACCTTAATGACGTGGATACAGTCAAGTTCTCAGGACCTTCATTTGCTGATATGGCATGACTCGAAATGAGAAGAAACAGCTGCAAACTTCTATTAATAAACAGAACGTGGAATGTACAAAGTATGAATCTAGGAAAATTGGAAGTTGTTAAAAATGAAATGGAACACATAAAGATAGTGAGCTGAAATGGACTCGTATTGACCATTCTGAATCAGACAATCATATGGCCTACTATACTGGGAATGACAAATTGAAGAGGAATGGCGTCGCATTCATCATCAAAAAGAACATTTCAAGATCTATCCTGAAGTACAACACTGTCAGCGATAGGATAATATCCATATGCTTACAAGGAAGACCAGTTAATGTGACTATTATTCAAATTTACCCACCAACCACTAAGGCCAAAGATGAAGACATTAAAGATTTTTACCAACTTCTCCAGTCTGAAATTGATCATACATGCAGTTAAGATGCATACATAATTACTGACGATTGGAATGCAAAGGTCAGAAATAAAGAAGGATTGCTAGTTGGAATATATGGGCTTGGTGACAGAAACAATGTCAGAGATTGCATAACAGAATTTTGCAAGACCAACAACTTCTTCATTGCAAATACCCTTTAACAACAAAATAAACAGAGATTTTACAAGTGGACCTCGATAGATGGAATAGACAAGAATCAAATCGACTACATTTGTGGACAAAGATGATGGAAAAGATCGATATCATCAGTCAGAACAAGGCCAGGAGTGACTTCAGAAAAGACCGTCAACTGCTCATGTGCAAGCTCAAGTTGAAGTTGAAGAAAATTAGAACAAGTCCATGAGAGCCGAAGAATGACCTTGGGTACATTCCACCTGAATTTAGAGGCCATTCAGGAATAGATTTGACACATTGAACACTAATGACCGAAAACCAGACGCATTGTGGAATGACATCAAGGACAACATACATGAAGAAAGTACAAGGTCATTAAAAAGACATGAAAAAAAGAAAAGACCAAAATGGATGTCAGAAGAGATTCTGAAAGTTGCTCTTGAATATCGAGTAGCTAAAGCGAAAGGAAGAACTGATGAAGTATAAGGGCTGAAAAGAAGATTTCAATCGGCAGCTCAAGAAGACATAGCGAAGTATTATAATAAAATGAGAAAAGACCTGGAGATTGAAAACCAAAAAGGAAGAATATGCTTGGCATTTCTCAAGCTGAAAGAACTGAAGAAAAAATTCAAGCCCTGAGTTGCAATATTGAAGGATTCTATGGGGAAAATATTAAATGATGCAGGAAGCATCTAAAGAAGATGGAAGGCATACACAGAGTCACTGTACCAAAAAGAACTGGTTGACAACCATTTCAGGAGGCAGCACATAATCAAGAACCAATGGTACTGAAGGAAGAGGTAACAGCTACAATGAAGGCGCTGGCAAAAAACAAGGCTCCAAGAATTGACCAAATACCAACTGAGATGTTTCAACAAATGGATGCAGCGCTGGAGGTGCCCACTCATCAACGCCACGCAATCTAAAAGACACCTACGTGGCTAACCGACTGGAAGAGATTCATATTTGTACCCATTTCAAAGAAAGGTGAGCCAACAGAATGTGGAAATTATCGAACAATATCATTAATACTACATCCAAGTAAAACTTCACTGAAAATCATTCAAAAGTGGTCACAGCAGTACATTGACAAAGAACTGCCAGAAATTCAAGCCGGGTTCAGAAGAGGACATGGAACAAGGGATATCATTGCTGATGTCAGATGGATCACGACTGAAAGCAGAGAAAAACAGAAAGATGTTCACCTGGGTTTTATTGACTATGCAAAGGCATTTGACTGTGTAGATCATAACAAATTATGAATAACATTGCGAAGAATGAGAATTCCAGAACACTTAATTGTGCTCTTGAGGAACCTGTACATAGACCAAGAGGCAGTTGTTCAAACAGAACAAGGGGATACTGCGTGGTTTAAAGTCAAGAAAGGTGTGTGTCAGGGTTGTATCCTTTCAGCACACCTATTCAATCTGTATGCTGAGCAAATAATCTGAGAACCTGGACTATATGAAGAAGAACACATTATCAGGATTGGAGGAAGACTCATTAACAACCTGCAATATGCAGACGACACAACCTTACTTGCTTAAAGTGAAGAGGACTTGAAGCACTTACTGATGAAGATCGAAGACCACAGCCTTCAATATGGATTACACCTCAACATAAAGAAAACAAAAATCCTCACAACTGAACCAATATGCAACATCATGATAAACAGAGAAAAGACTGAAGTTCTCAAGGATTTCATTTTGCTTGGATCCACAATCAACACCCACGGAAGCAGCAGTAAAGAAATTAAATGACGCATACGCATTCGGTAA